TAGAGAATTCGAGATTTGAAAAGTTTTGCAGGACTTTCACGGGTACTTGTATGCTCTGCATTCAACAGACGTAGTCTATGCATATGCAGCGATTCCTCCATTTTAACCAGTTGCTCTCTCATCTCAGTCAGCTGTTGACGAATGGACAACCAGCCAGCTTCCATTTCACTCACTTTTTTTCGAAACACTCCACACTGATGTTCTAAATCCTTTTGCAAACCTGACGCTGACTCAACAAAACATTCAAGCTCACGGATTCTTTTACTACTTCGCTTATTCTCAGATTCCAGCTCAACGATTTGAGTTAACAGTCTGCAGATTTCTTTCTCCTTCATTAAACAGGAATTCTCAGCAGCTGAAAGTTTAAGTGTCAAATTTTTATTCTTCGACCAACCAATTCATTCCTACTTTATAAGTTCTCTTCAACCTCTAACAAATTTTTCATGTTTTTGACAGATCGCATTGTAACTCGGTTACCTCATTTTTGAAAACACGTGGTACAGTTGACGCTTGAGTTGCTGAACTTGCAGTGAAGGTTTTCATTGGATGAGCTTGAGTATTTTGAAAAGTTGAAAGACACATTGACTCCATTTTACTAGACAGATTGGGAGAATTATAAGAATTCTGAGTAACACAAGTATTCGAACTTCTGCAAACAGTCTTGATGTGTCCAACTTTACCACATTTGTGACACTTAGCACCCCGAAAACGGCAAGTGCTTCGTAGATGTAACTTTCCACAGGAAAAACACGATTTAATGTTTTTGATCTCTCGCTGCATTCTATTACCTGTGGACGGCAGTTTGGATTGCTTTCCATGACCACTTGTATTATTGACTTTGGAAAGCATGACATCAAATACTGAGGTAGTAGGAGCAGAGTATTCACTGTTGACATCTTCATATGTATTACATAAATCTTTAGCAGTTTGAAAGGTACAGGAAGGAATCTGAACCAACTTTTTCTCTAACTTAGGAACATTGATTCCAGCATTTAGACGATCACGTAGTTGAGTATGCAGCTGATCTCCAAAGTTGCACTTCGATGCTTGTATCTGAAGCTGAAGAGTAAAGTCTCTAATCTTTTGGTTAGGAGCACGAACCAGTTTGTTGAACTGAGCTCTCTCTCGTGTTTCAAAAGTACTTATATTGAAGTGATCTGTTACAAGTCCACGGAGCTTATCATATGGCAGAGAAATTGGTTTATCAGGAAACGACAGAGTGTTCACTAGGCTATACGCATCTAGCCCAATAGCAGCAGTGAAATGAGCTGGAATTTTGTCATCGCGAATATTCTTTGACATGCACCATGCGTCGAAGCATTCAAGATAATCAGCGATTTCCCGCGGTGAACCATTTATAGGAAACTTTCGAAGGTTATTTAGTTCCATCGCGACGCCAAATTGTTGTAATTTTTTGTAATAGTAGTATTAGTATTCCGCGATAACCGAATTACAAGAATTTGACCAAAACACAGAGAGGGATGAATTTAGGAATTTGTATTTGACGGAATTATAATGCAATTCATATAAGAAATATATTAACAAGTAACAGTAAGTATTTAAACAATACAGAGATAGAAATTGTCAATCACCACACAATCATATTATTCCAGACTCCACACGTGTAGGCTATCAGTATATGTTTGGACTAAATTCACTCTGATAATTTGATCACAGATATTTAGATATCAAATATCATCAAAATATTCCCTCCACAGGAACATGAAGGTTTAACAATATCACTTGACGTTCTCCGAACAAATTGATTATGCTAGACGTAAAACACGAAGGCTCCTAGGATGCATAACTCACATTTTCTTCTGTTGTGAAACTAGGGTTTTATTATACTGAGTATATGTCCAACCTATTTTAGAATAGTGCCCGTTTATTCTTAGCGGACTGCGACAGAATGACAAGCTTAAATTAGAAGGGGTGCAACGGCAATTTACCTCAAGAACTCTTGGTTTAGTAAGTGGTCTACAATACTCTGAGCGTCGCGACAGACTAAATGTAGAACGACTCTGGAAAAGACGTCTTAAGCTAAACCTTATTTTCTACTACAAGCTAACTAATTTTCATGTGGTTTTGTTCTCTGAGCTGGATGGTTAGTTTGCGAAGCTTTCATCACCTTACTGGGTGACATCTTCAGCGCGTACTTCAAATTGAAGTATGCGCTGAAGATGTCACCCAGTAAGGTGATGAAAGCTTCGCAAACTAACCATCCAGCTCAGAGAACAAAACCACATCAAAATCATCCACCTGAGCTACAAATCTTCTCTATAATATCTAACTAATTTTCCCTTGCACTTCTCCTGGCCTATAACTCAAACTCCCACTGTCATCTATGACAATCTTAGAAATCATCACAACCTAGTTGCTATAGAGCATTGTGAGGCTTACATGCGGTACAACGTCTTCTTAAATAAGTTTTCATTCATTTGGAATAGACTGCCAGCTAATATGCGTGATGCAAACACACCTCCAGTGTTCATCTCCTCAGTCACTAGACTGCTCAAAAATGACAGTGCACTCCTGCGTCTGACTTCTACACCCTCTTTTTCACCCTACATAGATATTTCAAGTTCACTAAGTGTGTAAGTTACGACAAACTACGGTTATAAATGTTAATATTATTGGAATGGCAAGATAAACATTTCTACACAGGACAGTAATATTAGTTCACACATAATATAAAAGTTAGCATAACGGGACTAACTAGTTAGTGAGTGTACCAAAATAATCATAGTTACTACACAGAATATATTTATATAAATTTATAAATCACTGCTTGAGGACTCCACTTGCTTTCTTCTGTGATGCTGTCGTTTGTCTTCTTTTTTCTCTCTCATCATTTTACCTTCCATGTGACTCTTTGAATGAGAATGAAGAATGTAGATATTTGACCACTCACAATGACAAGTGATTTGCAAACCTTATTGGTCCCATGCCTTACAATTGCCTCGTGAATTACCCACTACCTTCCTCCACGACGCAACCTGGATTACAGTTGTGCAATATACCTTTATACCAATGAAAAAGTAATAATTTATAATACTTCACGATTGTAATTTATGTCATAACTGATCGTGCCTGTAAAAATGGCATGCATCCGTTTATAAGAAAATATAAACTATCATTATTATTAGTGCGCATTCAGTACGATTCACTTCTGGTGCTACGATGAAAATGCTAACAAAATTATACAGGTTTATCACTTATTTTGAATTATTACCCAATTTGGATATAAATCAAGAATAAGATGCGATGCCGTACCCACGATTTATTTTTGCCCCATCCAACACATATTTGGGTTTTTTGTTAATGCGGAGACAATATTTCTATATTTCTTGATGGGCTCCATTGAATGACTAGTTATCACAGTGATGCCACCAACCAAAGACAAAAACAGCAACAACCATGTAAGTTCACCATAAGCTAAATTTATACAATTTAAATAATACTTATCCATGCCTGTACATTTGGTATGTCCTGCACAGGTAGGAATAAATATGTACCTTATTATATTATCTAAGAATGGATATCCTGAGAAGTTCATTAATAAATACTCTAAAGAAACTAGCCCCTGCAAAACAATCCGAAACAGTTCCAAAGAAACCTGTTTATATCAATTTACCGTTCAAAGGAGATGACGTACAAGAAGTAGTGAAACGAAGACTCGACAAAGCCATCAAGAGAACTTATTGTGCTGCAAAACTTGTTTTCCTTAACACCACTAAGCGAGTGCTTCAACAATCTGGGAAAGACTAGTCGCCAATCCTTGACACTTAAAAATGCGTATAATAGTTTAAGTGTGTTTGTGGAAGCAAATACGCATAGGTCGTACGGAAAGGTGATTGTCTACTCACACCATGATGGAGCATTTGCCAAAATAGTTGAAAACAGCTGAGTGCAAAGTGTCAAAATCCTCAATAACAAAACATCTTGTGGATTACGGACATGATATCGACGCGGTCAAGTCATTCACTATTGTCTGCAGACAAAGAAACAAGAAGATGCTTGCAATTGCCGAGGCTTGTGCAATTCGAGATGTTCATCACTGTGAATCTACCATGGTAATACGTTTTACTCATCATTCTACCTCTTATTATTGTTATTATTATTATAATTCTTGAGTCATTTAAAACTATGCTTTATCAGTAGGATTATCTTAGCTCACTTGAACACTATTATAATAATTGTTACTATAACTATTACTGTTGATATTACTGTTTGCAATTTTGTTATATTCTCTAATGACTAATTGTTTATCTAAGTGATGTAGTTGAAGCGTAATGCAATTTATCTTAATTTGATCTTTAATACTCTCTCTTTCCCCTTATCTATTTGAACATGACCTGGAAAACATTCGCACCAGTCGTCTTTCTGCATGACTAATTCAGTGTAGTTTGTTTACTTATCAGTCTTATATCTCCCAATGTAATTTCAAAAGTATATATGTATATCCGTGTATGTAGAGTATTCAGCTGACGAGTTCTACCGAAATTTGATGAATCCATCATTAAATCCTGCTTTATTCACCTGCTTTGTTGCTTGTTTTAAATTCGTATCGGGAAATAAATGTTTTCAATTATTATATTATTATTACTAAATATGCATGCTAGTCGTATATGTTATTTATCATATTGATGATGCCTGCAAGCTGGCTTCCCTCATGTAGAAAAATGAGAATATATTACTACTATTATAAAGAGTTCGAAGACATGCACAATCATTAATCAATCATTTACTGTATTAACCAATCAGGTGACAGTTTTCTATCAACCAATCAAAATTATGATTAAGACAATCACTGACTTAACTGTAATAATGTGTACATGAAACAAATCTACGTTGAAGTTTTGTACTCTATTGGATTTTCTGTTGTACGGAAGAGTTTTTCATATATACCTAGAGTAATTCACCTCCTCCACACACTATATTAAATCTTCTTCAAGTGAACTAATATATATATAAACATAAATACATAAGTATAAATACATATGAATCCTATATCAAAGCTACTTAAATTAAAACAAAGATATCATCAACATCATCATAAAACAAAACCAGAAGAAACATTAAACCCTTGTATAGATGAACAACCAGTTGTGCTAAGAAATAAGTCGTCTACAATAAAACAACTTACACGATCTAAAAGTGAAATAACAAAACAACCGGTGAAAAAAGTTCGTTTCAAAAGTAATGGAACCTGTAAGTTAGTATACATTGTCAAATTAATCAATAATTTTCTTGCCTTATCTACCTGTGCATATACATATATATATAGTATCGTTGAAAGCAATGCGTCGAAGAAAACAACTTGAAGAAGAGATGATGCAATTCGATGGAGAGTTGTGCAGAATGGATGAAAATTTAGACTTGTTGAAGAATAAAAAGACTAATGATGAAATTATAAAGACATTAAAAGTTGGTGTAAGATCATTGAGACATTTGCAGAGAAAGGCGTAAGTTATGCTTGAAATAGAATATTTATTTATTTATTGGATATATATGTATATAAACAGGGTGTTGAACAGTATTATTTACCAGAGGAAAATGTTTCGAAGACAATTGTTCATTGTTCATCGTCATATCGTCAACTGTGACTGCACAATCTGGGAAGTTGATCATTCTTGTTTTCCATTTATCATAGAGATAGTAGAGCTTTCCGGATAATTGAGACAGCGGCTGAGATATTCTTACTGAATAAACTTTCAGTTGGTTAGACAAATGGAGCATCAGCGATCAGTTTCTTCCTTTACCTTGTTATGTCAATTTTTAAGGCTTTCCCCTTGTTGCGTCTTTGAGTTTCTAGAGGAACATAGGGGTTCAGCAACACATCTCGACTTTGTTTTAATTCCTGCTATCCTCTTCAGCTACGTTCACGAGTAACCAAAATCTCTCATCTCCTCCTCATCCTCCTCACACTATCTCCTCAATGTCACCCGAGCATCGATTACCCATTAGTCACTTTCTATTGGGATTCCACGTCAGTGATGGCTTGCATTACGCGGGATGTCATTCAACGGCCTCCTCAAAGTATGTCCAATCCATCTTCAATTTTTTTCCAGCACATTTGTTGAACAGTAGACTGTTTATTATTGAAGTCGAAATCGACTTCAAACTGATGAAAATCTGTCTTGCTTTTCCGATTCTGGCTGACTAACTTTGACATCTCCCCATCCATTCCGTCTTCGGAATGACAAGATGCTTTCTAGATAGGTAAAGCCAGGAAGTAACATCTTTCAGATTTCTCCCGATATTGTTGCCTCAAAGTGACGATGAATGAACACGATGATTGACCTCATTCAGGTTGGCACAGTAAACAAAGAATGTGAGAGATTTCAACTCAGGTCCCTGATAGATGATCAGTTCAAAGCCCTAATTCTCATATGCAGTTTTCAGTCTCCTCGTTTAACAGATATTTGAACATTACTTCTCAATTAGCTAGAAGAAATTCCCAAGATAAGTCTACATGAAGCTTTGACATTCGTGGAGTACGACAGAGAGAAAATTGCTCCGCATTATCCAGTCCTGACCCACGTGCTCCTAATATAGCATATAAGACTACATATACTGGTTCAACTTCACCGAATATTTCAAAGAAGACCCCATTATTACTATGCTGGCACTGTAAAGAGTGATATTTTATAAAGTCATTTCCGGACAGACACCGTCGTTGCCACAAGTGTAGCATAATCGGCCATAAAGATGGATGTTGTCAGCCAAGCAAACACTGATAATATTGTCCCAAGAAATCTTGATGTACTATGAGTCCTAAATCTCCTAGAAGATCAACGAGTCTACTGGTAACATATCAAGTTGCTACTGGTCGGTTTTCCCATTGTATGCTTGTGTGTAATTTCATGTAGTGCTTTAGGTCAACTACTTTCTAGATGTTTTAAAATCTTCTTAGCGTCAGTTATTCCAGGTTGTGCTAGGCTTTTAAGCTCCGCTAATCTGACTGACCTGTGTATTTGACCTGATAATCATCACAGGCGTAGTATTGGATAAACTAAATTATGTTGTTCAATGGACTCTACAGAATCCTTTAATACACTTAATTTGTGTATCTAAGTGAATTTGTCAACTTGACTGGCGCCTTTATTCCTGCTTAGTTTATTGGTAGTCTCTTTGTAATGAAGCACAACTGATATTTTAAATTCTCTATCGTTAAAGTTTTTTTTATGAAAGAGCTTCTCTTGAAATGCACAATGAATTTCCACTTTTTATTTAATAAGGAATTATATAGACAAATCAACGGTGTGGCAATAGGGTCACCACTAGGATCCATTCTAGCTGACATTTTCCTTGCGAAACTAGAAAATGGGCCTTTGAAAGATGTTATTGATGAACTTGAATTATATATACTGCCGGTACATGGATGATTATGAAAAATGAGAAGGAAGCAAAGAACATCCTGGATAAATTTAACGAGGTTCATCCTGCAATAAATTTTACTACTGATAAAATAAAAGCCTCTAGTATCTCATTCCCAGACGTCGTTGTGACCAGAAAAGACGATAGCACAACAAGATGTGTATATAAAAAAAACTATATCAACGGGTCAGTATACTCACATTTTCAGCTTTGTGTCCTTGAAATAAAAACGCAGTCTGATAAAGTGCTTGGTTCACAAAGCAGAAGCAATCCACTCGGATGAATGTCTTAATAAGGGACCTAATAGTATTAAACGGTTGCTGCGTGAAAACGATCATCTATAGAAGTTTCTTCATAAGAGGATGATTCAAAAGTCAAGGCAGTCCAAGGTGCCAACAGCTACTGAAATGGTCTTATTCTTACAAATGCAGTTCCTCGGGGATAAAACCAGTGAGATATTAACACAACGCCTTAGGAATGCGATAAAAAGAGGATTCTCCACTGCTGAATTGTTCTGTGTCTTCAAAACCACTCCTCATTTTCGTTCGGTAGTAAAAGACAAACTGCTTAATTTTGCCTCTTCCATATGTATCTACCAATTTTACTGCTCCTTTGAAGCCAGTTGAATAGGCCATACAATTAGACGTGTTTCTCGTCACATTTCCGAACACCAGTCTGCCTGGTTGCTTAAGCAAAAGACAAACAAAATCTATTCGCAGCGCTAATATAGAATACACGCTGCTAGAGTTTGTAAATATCACACATATCTTAAAATACTTGTAATATATTATTTCTGAATTTATACTTCTTTTTAACAATCTACTCTGATAGGTTATCGTATCAAGCTGAGAGTGATTACGATGATGGGGAATTTCAGGTTACTGAAGAGGAATTAGAAGAGGAACTTCGTCAGCTAGAGGTATTTCATTTATTTATTGCTCATATATATATATATATATATATATATATATATATATGTATATTCTGGGCATATAAACCTTTCCATTTCTTCATCCCCTCTATTATTATTATTATTATTATTAACTATTCATCCATTGGAACTCAGTGAAAAGTAGGGTAACAGCAGAACATTCGTGTGTTTCACTTTGCTCCTGGGCTCAACAACTCCCCATATGCTTTCGTTCGCTTCTCATACTGTAACCATAGAAGACAAGGGCCAGGAGACAGATCGTCTATTGAGAAAATCAACAGATATTTATAGATTTTTATTTACATTACTATTCGTTATCGTTAGCAGAGAAACAAAGTCTTCTAATTGGTTGTTTTCTTGCTCAAAGCTATTCTATCATCTCTTTTTGACCGTTTCTTTGACTGTCAGGTCATATAGCTGCTAATCACATCTGTCCATGCTAAGTCTGCTGTGAGTGAGTGTTGAGTTTCTCAAGGTTAGGGTTTGTTCTTGTTTTTACGCATGACCCTGATTTGTGACGTAAGCATTGACGTAAATTGTTGCTTACAATTTTTGGCTTGCAGATAACTCTCACCAGAATACGATCTCCTCAATGCCACTGTTGGAGGCTGTGACTCTTCATTCTCTATTCGGATTCCACTAGAGATCCTGATGTGCGATTTTATTCAAGGTTCTTCTCAGTGTGTGTGTGTGTCCAGTACTTTTATTGTCAGACACGAATAGTTAAGATGTCTCGCTTCAGTGTCAACATTTCCTAGCAATTCCTTGATGAAGACATGATTTAGCATGCCCAGTTACTCCTATTTCATTTATTATGCTGTGTTCCAATTATTACTATTATTATTACATCAGTGATGATCGATTGGCTATAAGATTGAATGTGGAATCGATATTTTTGTGAAGAGTCTTCAGTTATTATCCTTGAATATTAATCACAGAGTCTTTTGCGAAGGTGAGTCATCTGACTGAATTTAGCCGACTTTGAAAAAATATATAAAAAGTAACGGACGGCTCCGTGATGACGGTAGATGGAATATTTTGAAATATATTCATATATATAGAAATCCTGTAGTCATTTGTAAGGTTGGTAAAATGAGTCAACAAGGAGTTGAGTGGGACTATTTCATTCCTGTCGAACAAACACCTCAAGTTTCAGAACGAAAAACAGATTTCTAGGATTTGGGCGTTATCCTTAAGGCACAGGTTTCGGACGAAATCTTAGCTTCTGAACAGAAGGTGGATTTTGACATTCGCCAAATTACTTCAGGTCTTTTGTCTGTGGCATGCTAAAAGCAGTCCGCATTCTCTTATTTCGCACTAATAAGGGTTGATTCTTGGAAATAAGATAAAGTTTTCAATGCAGAATTTTGCATAGAAGTGCGGCAATTCAAGTCGCTTCACAGCGTATTATCACACAAAGGCAGAGAAAAGTATACAAGGTAAATAACAAGTATATGAGGAATAACGAGGACTCAGTGAGACAAGGAGATTACAAAATATGAATATATATCTGCGTCACTCTAGACGATTTTGAGCTCTGTCAGCAACAGTCTGCACACATTGGTTCTTAGCGTCTCCAGGACCCCACAAGTAGTCAGTCTACACCTCTTTAAATGACTCAAACCAACGGTCACAGACATAATCAACTGATGTTGAGCTTTGATTTGACCACCATAGCTCTTTTCCAACCTAATCCTAAGTCAATTAATATCGCCTGTCTAGAAATGCGATGGTTTGGCGTGCCTAACACAACCTTATTGTCCCTACTTAACATCCTACTCCTGAACTCAGCACTACACTCATTGTATTACGTTACTTAACACGAGAGGTAGAATGCCAACGTCTGCGCAGTCAAACACAACCTGCCTCTTTAAGTCTTCAGCTTTCAATAGCCACTTAAACAGATTTGATGAGATTACAATTTCTGGACAATTAGATTAAGTTAAATCTTAAAGTAATCAATAGTTTGGTCACTTGCAAAACTCTAGGTGGTGAGAAACTATGGGCACTGGGTGAGAAGATCATCACTCACTGAAAAATGCAGGTACATCCAGCTGACGAGTCCCAAATAGGACGAAACGCGCATCATGGATTCCACTGCTAGCCACCATCCACCAATTAAATACTAATTAAGTGCCCAGACATCGTCGAAGCATCTGCACAAGAAGCCGACATGTCAACCTGAGACCAAGCACTTCGGTCCAATCAGTCGACGGGAAAATCTAAAAATTTCTGTTAAAGTGAGAAAGAATTCAGATGATGAAACTGTTAAACTTCTTCGCTATCCTTCACAAATGATTTCAACTAAAGTAGGGTAAATTAAAAACCTTTGTTTGTGCTGCAAGAAGAAATGAATAACTCTCATTCCTGGAGTCACTGACTAGTAGTTTAAACTGCATTTTTCGTGATCAGTTACCTGAATAGGATCCATTAAGATGTATTGATTAAAGATTATTGATGTAAGTGTGTTCATTCTTTTCAAACATTTTCGTCAGTTTACACTTAGTTATTGCCTCTTTTTCTCTCAGTCGTGCTTACCCACTGTAGTAACACTCCTGATGTATGAAAAAAAGAGAGCTGAGTGAACAAAATTTACTTTACCAGGGAGGTCATCCTTAAAGGCTGTACAGTCCTGATTAAATAATCAATGGGAACTCATAGCAGTCGACTGTTAAGTGATAAGAGACAGTGAATACTACACAATCGATGCGATTACCGATAAGTGATTTGTTCGTCGGTGGCACAGTGTTAAAATGCTGGCCAACCACGCAATTGATGCGGCGTTCGATCACCCACCGGCGAGAAACTCCCAAACCTCGTTAAGCCAGTAATAAGACTGGTAAAGAAGGAAGGTTGGTTATGAGGCTAACAATCCCATCCTGTAGAAATAGATACCATTGTTACCAAAACTTCATGCCTCCAGCTTGAAGCCCCTTTGTGTTCCACTGGGAACGTAAAGGAATGAAAAAATGTTTCTAAAGATAAGAAGAAATTACATAATAGCCAACGGCATAACTGAAGTAAGGGTCAGAAATTGTATAAGATGAGAAGCAAGCCAGTTGGTTTGAATGTCTATGACTTGACTAACTGTGAAGAAGATAACAATAAAACTACTTCATAGAATGCACAATAAGAACATGTATGAGTGAATTAATTGCTTAAACTAGAAAGAAACATGTAGGAAAAGACTGTAAGATCATGACAGAATCAGAGACTGAAAAAACTTTTTCTGAGCACATAGAATTCAAAGTTATATTGAAGGATTACTGACACCTTGGGCATACACAAGTGCAGAAACATAAATTCACCTGCTGCTTTGGAGTTAGTTATATTGGCCACAAACTTCCAACACTTTCGCAAAATGTACAGAAATATTTTATTGATCTGTATTTCATTGGTTGAACGATTTCATCATGTAAAGTTAGAGAACCATTGGAAAACCAGCTGAGAGTACTTAACAGCAGTGTTTTATCAGCCTACTTTGGGACTCTTCAGTAGTATACATCCACACTTCGGGGTTCGAAACCAGGATCTTCTGATTACAAGGTGAGTGAGCTTGTAGACCACTAAGCCACCGAGACCCAATCCATTGGCCAATTCATGACCTAGCGTTACCACTTCATAATGGCTTCTTGAGATACTGTCTCATATTAAACCTGCTGTACCTTACTGGTCATGGATTGCCACTAGAACCGAAGGTAACTGCCTGAATAGGACCTACGAGCTCACTCGCCTTGTAACCGTAAGATCCTAGGTTCGAATCAGGCAGTGTGGATGCGCACTACCGAAGAGTTGCAAAGTAGGCTGATGAAACACAGCTGTTGGACAGTAAGTACTCTCAGGTGTTTTTCCAATGGTTATTTAACCGATATCAGCTCATGATGAAGTCATTCAACCAATCAAACAAAATCCCCTACAAAATTAATACTTGAAAATTAATCTGTATTGATTAATAAGTTTAAGAGACGACCTTCATTGCCATTGTCGTTCAATATCCTCAGGTGAAATCTTCCTCACTGAATTGCTTTTCAATAAAAAAAAATTAAATGAAAAAATGAATTAAGTGAATTTTTAATGAAATTTTTATTACCTTTCTTTCTCTTTCTCTAAGCTTCTAAGTAATCAACAGAAAAATAGTCAGTCACCACCTCCGGAGTCGAATGCTGAACCAACACTACTTTCAAAAAGTAAGTTCGAATATATTAACATGACATTTTTTAAAATATCATAATATTCCTTTGTATTTCTACTGAAAAATGAGACCTCAGCATCTTTACACGTTAGAAACTAAGCCCATATCACTGTTCCCCATGGTTTTTTGCACTGGCTAGTGATGCCGATCGACAGCCTCTCCAGAGTGTGTCTAATCCGTCTCCATTTCTTTCCGAGTATTTGTTTGACACTAGGTTCTTTATTGGTTGATTTGTCGTCTGAGTTCCTTGTTGGTTGTTGCCGGGATCGAACCCTGGACCATGTGGGTGGTTGGCGAGCATTCTAACCGCTGTGCCACCGACAAACCTAGCTAAAATTGGCAGACAGCAATTCACGTCAATGCTTACATCACAAATCAGGGTCATGAGAAAAAAACAAGAACAAAGCCTAACCTTGAGGAATTCAACAACCAGTCACAGCAGACTTAGCATGGGCGGATACTATTAGCAGATATATCAACGGACTGATTAAGAAACGGCAACAAATTGATGATAGAATAGCTTTGAGCAAGAAAACAACCAATCAAAAGACGCTGTTTCTCTGCAAACAATAACATCAATAATAATGTACATAAAAATCTAATAAATGTCCGTTGAACTTCTGAATAAACGATCTTCTGCCTGTCCCTTGTCTTCTGTCGTTACAATTCTTTCTGGTAAGCTGGCCATCTTATCTTCAGTGTGGAGTGAAGGCATCATCTACTGAAAAAAAAATTGCAGCAGTCTGTTGGAAATATTACCCGTGATTCCCTGAGTCTGTAAACCAACTATGGAAGCACTGTGTAACTTCAGACTAGTATTGAAAATTCGAGTTTTTGAACTTTATATTGAATGCAGCAGATCTTTAGAGTGATTTCAGGTTATTAAGTGTTCGATATGACGGAGGATTTCATCATGAGCTGATATCAGTTAGAGAACCATTGGAAAACCTTCAGGGAATACTGGACACCATTTCCGTCCTAGTTTGGGACTCTTCATTAGTACGCATCCACCGGGGTTCGAACCCATGACGCTCTGAGTGGGTGGATACTAATAAAGAGTTCAAAACTAGGACAAAAGAGCTGTCCAATACTCTCTGAAGGTTTTCCAATGGTTTTAAACTGATGTCGGCTCATTATGAAGCCCTTCATCCAATCAAACAAATCCATACGAAACCAGTACTTGAATATTAAATGTTTGTCTAATTTTATCATTCTAGTCTTTGATATCCTCATCTGTACTGCCTGTAGTTGAGATGGTGTCGATGTATTCGTTTCAAATGGAATTATTGAAGTTATGTTGATTTCTTCTTTTGAAGATCAAACTGATATAACAGTAAATATGGGCAAAAGATGAATGTCGTCTGTAAAAACACTGGGAACCAATGGTGATTCATTAGCTATTTATTCATGTCTTGAGACAGATCATTGGCGTATACTATTATTATTATTATTATTATTATCGTAATCGTCATTATTGTTCCCATTGGTTCTGACTGAAAAGTAGGACTTCAACATTTCAGAAATCAGTAAAGAATATCCTTTTCGATAATTTCCTCTTCTGACTCTGCAATTATATATATGCATGTCTATATACATAGAATATTCTAGAATAGTAGTCAATAACAATATTAGTGCTTTTTAAATAATATCGATTTGTCCAGTAAGATCAATGGAATTACAGTTCATTAAAGGTGCTTAAATTATAATAATAATAAAGATATAATAGCAAATCGTGCGTCGGTGGCACAGCGGTTAAGACGCTCGCTGACCATGCACATGGTCTGGGGTTCGAGCCCCGGCCGGCGCACACCTTTACCTCGCTAAGCCAGTAGTGAGACTGGTAAGGAGGAAAGGTTGGGCATGAGGCTAGCAACCCCATCCTGTAAAAAATCAACACTGCTACGGAATCTTCAAGCCTATAGCTTGGAGCACTATGTTCCACTGGGAACGTGAAGGAAAAAAAAATAGCAAATAGAATAAAAACTAAAATTGAGGAAATTTACACAACAAATCGGGGATCATTCGAACGTAGATGGCCAACGTAAGGACAATGTCTGAACAAGCTTCTTTTGGACACATAAATTAGGCTTCTAAATGTAAATATGGCTGAGGCTGTTTTGATCCACAACAAGAAGCCTAATATATATGTCCAAAAGAAGCTTGTTCAGACATTGTCCTTACGTTGGCCATCTACTTTCGAATGATCCCCGATTTGTTGTGTAAATTTCCTCAGTTATAGTTTTTATTCTATTTGCTATTATATCTTTATTATTATTATTATAATTTAAGCACCTTTAATGAACTGTAATTCCATTGATCTTACTGGACAAATCGATATTATTTAAAAAGCACTAATATTGTTATTGACTACTATTCTAGAATATTCTATGTATATAGACATGCATATATATAATTGCAGAGTCAGAAGAGGAAATTATCAAAAAGGATATTCTTTGCTCAATTGCTTTGTGTTTCATAGATTTTTGAATGAATATTTTCGCTATATCTCCATTTCACCCTCATCTGTGAAATATTTTGTAAGTGTTCAGGTGTTGGTTTGTAGGAATTTGATTGGTTTCAGGATTTCATCATGAGCTGACATTAGTTAGAGAACCATTGGAAAACCTGGGAGTACTGGACAGCTCTCTTGTCAGCCTAGTTTGGGACTCTTCAGCAGTACGCACACACACCACTGGGGTTCGAACCAAGGACCTTTCGGTTACAAGGCTAGCCCGTATACCATTCAGCCACTGAGACCCGATCCAATGGCCCATGAATTCCAACTTCTGCCAATTCACGACATAGCGCGACCCCTAGCCAATGTCTTCGGCGAGTATTTGTCCTCACACCGACCGGCTGCACCCTACTGGTCACGACTTCTCACTAAAACCCCAGGTAACTACCTACCTGAATAGGGCCAGTCGCCAGTGAGCATCTCAAATACTCGCCGAAGACATTGGCTAGCGGTCGCGCTATGTCGTGAATTAGCAGAAGTTGGAATTCAAGGACCATTGGATCGGGTCCCAGTGGCTTAATGGTATACGAGCTCGCCTTGTAACCGGAAGGTCGTGGGTTCGAATTCCGGTGGATGCATACTGATGAAGTGTCCCAAACTAGGACGAAACAGCTGTCCAGTACTCTCAGGTTTTCCAATGGTTCTCTAACTAATGTCAGCTCATGATGAAATCCTGAAACTTTATGAGTGTCTACACGACTGCCCAATCTGTTATTATGAGATCTCCTCTGTATTCCTCTCGAACCCATGCTCAAACCGCTGTTTTCCACTTAGGTACCATTTAAAGGTCTGGCGCGTGTTTTCTTGACCATATGTCTAATCCATTTCCATGTCCTTCTGTGTATTTATTGGTCGGTAGTTTCTTTACTGATATGTTGCCACGTACACTAATCATATTAGATGGTTGGAAGCAGTCAGCAGAAAGTCTTGCCTGCCCCAAGTTTCATGCTAGCTGGAATTTTTCAGTCACCAAGGCGTATCTGTAACATTGAAGGAATTCACGTCCCTTCTGAAGAGATTCACACTGACGTCACCCAGTAAGCACTGCAGTCAGAGAAGTTGTCAATAAGCTATTTGGGATCGCGACTACTGATCTCTTGTAGGACTGTATTGGATATTTTTGAATGGACACCACTCGGTGATTAGTGTAATGTGCACAGTCCTTTATTTGGTGTAGAATGAATTCTATCAGTCAAGTTTTTAATGGCCGATGCGGGTTCCAATCTCAGAAGGCACATGAGTTCCTTCAGGACTGCACATACGCCACCTTGCTGACTGAGACTGGTGAGTGCTAACTAGCACAAAACCTAGGTCAGGTGAGTTTTCCTGCCGATTGCCTCAAATCCTCTAATATCAACAGTACAATTCATCTTGATGGCAAGCCGTCTAGTGGCATGGTGGCCCCCACAGATAGGACTAGTAGACACCAACATACATTACACTAATTACTGACCAACTTCCAATCAAAACTATTCATATTATTCTACCAGTAAGTAGTATGTACCATTAAGAGGGATTCTTGCCTTCTGTTTATGCCACTTATGGTGTTTAGCAGATAACCTATTGTTGCAATCTAAAGGACTTCATTTTCCATAGTAAACTGTACCGAAACTGCCCCCCCCCTCTTAAAACTATGTGTACAGTTCTCAAACTGCCAATTTAAGATATTTTTTCTTCTTGCAGTGATTCTACAAGATAAATATTGATTATTTTGTAAAATCTCAAGCAAACCTCTAAACCCTAAGGTACTTATCAATTACTTGCTCTTACGTACTTCTACTTGCTATTCATGCATTGAATTAGCATATTTTGTTAAATCTATAAGTAATAGTTTCTAAATTTGGTGATTTAGTTAGTTAGTTAATTAGTTGGTTGGCTAGTTAATTTTGTTTTAATTATAAGCTAGCTGCTAACCGCTTTACGTCAATGTTCAAGGCTTCAGTGTATCTCACATGATTGAGTAGGTGAATTATTATAATAGCAAGAAAACATACATGAATTGAATTCTAATTTCTTTCTCTTGTTTTTAAAAAATATTAAAAAAAATAATTTCGTAAAACAGCCAAATATTTGATAGAAATTATTAATAGTTTCAATATCATATTGAAGAAACATTCAGTTAGTTTCTTTTTTTGTTGGTGTTGTTTTACCCTCAACTAATTACTATGCTAACCATTTATCGATTATAATCAATTAATTATTATAATTACTACTTGTATTCGTTCTTTGAGTTTTAAGTGGAACCTACAGTTTTGACAGCATCTCTTCACTGCACTCGATTGTTTCTTGATCATTTTCAGGTGTTTTCATTATGATTACCGACAAACCTGTATTTCTCCTCAATCTAATCTCCAGTGTGTTACACAAGGAGATTTAATCTGCCGTGTATTTGTTTAAGGTTCTGCTCAAGGACCTGATATATATATATATATATATATATATATATGATGTCATTTGAAAGTCTTTTCAGTGCATATCCG